ATTTTATTTTATTTTATTTTATTTTATTTTTATTTTTATTTTTATTTTAAAAGATGACCAGTAAGGGGATCTTAACCCTTGGCTTGGTGTTGTCAGCACCACGCTCAGCCAGTGAGTGAACCGTCCCTGTATAGGATCCGAACCCGTGTCCTTGGAGTTATCGGCACCACACTCTCCCTGAGTGAGCCATGGGCCGGCCCCTACAACTTTTTGATTTTAGATTAGTCCTTCTGAAATTTCAGAAAGCCCTTCCTCATCGTTGAATCACAAAAATGTTCTCTGCCATTATCTTTGACTTTTTGCTTTTAGGTCTTAAAGCCATTTGGTGTTGAGTACCATTGTTATATCTACTTGAGTGATGGCAAAACTGAGGCTGGGTTTCAAACCAGGCAGCGTGGCCTCAGAAACTGTGTTCTTAAGCTACTATGTCACACTGCTACTTCATTGATGGGGATCCTCGACTCAGAAGTCACTGTGTGCAGAGCCTTTCAATGCCAATCTTTCACTCAGTCCTCCCCACAGCCTTGAGTAGTAGGTCCTATTACCAGGTGAGGGAAACTGAGGCTCCCAAAAGATAAAGTGGCAAAACCAGACTTTTGGATTCCACCCTCTCTGCTTTTAAACACCAAACTACATTCTCCCCCTGTAGGAACCTGCGATCATCCTTGACTTGTCCCTCAGTTTCACCCCGACATGTACAGTCATTATTCATGGATTCCATATTTGCAAATTTGCCAACTTGATAAAATCTACAGGTAGCCCCCAAACCAATACTCTGGGGGCTTTTGCAGCCAATTGCAGATATGCACAGAGTGTTGAAAAATTTGAGCTGCCCGATGCACCTGCTTCTGGCTGAGGTTGAACAGGGTGATGTTCTGCTTTCTTATTTCTTCCCTCACACTGTAAACAAGTGTCCCTTCCATGGTTTCTTTAGTGTCACGTTTTCTGCATTTTTGTGCTTTGTATTGGTGATTTCACTGTTTAAAATGTCCCCTGAGCATAGGGCTGAAGTATTGTCCAGTGTTCCTAAGCGTAAGAAGGCTGTGGTGTGCCTTAAGAAAAAATACATGTGTTAGATCAGCTTCATTCAGGCACAAGTTAAAATTCTGTTGGCCGTTAGTTCAATGTTAATGAATGACAATAGATGTTAAATAAGGTGATTTTAAATGGAAACACACATAAAACAATGTTTTGTATTGACTGGTTGATGAAAACATTGTGACCAGAGTCTCGCAGAAACCCAACCCTATATTTCCCCCTAGAAGCAATGGTTCAGTATTTGCTAATTCAGTGTTTGAGGTGACTTTATAGAACCTAACTACTATGAATAATGGGAATTGACTGTATTGCTAAGTTTCTTTGATGTTACTTCAAAACTCTCTTTCTAATCCATCCACAACTCTCCATCTCTGCTGGCCCAAGCCACTGCCCTGACCACCCCGTCACTGCAGCAGGCTCCGGGTTCCTTTCCCTCCTACCACTATCCCCACCCCGTTGTCTTCTCCATGCACCCAGCAGCCAGAGTGATGATATGGTCTCAGATATGATTCCTCCTCTGATCATCACTACTCAGGGCCTCCCCATCACACTGGAAAAAAGGCCAACTCCCTTACCACAGCCTAAAAAAGATTCTGCATATTTTGTTCCAGATGAATCCTCTAATCTCATTCCCTACGTAATCATTCCTTCATCATTAAGTGTCACACTGGCCTTCCCTGGGATCCTGGAATAGGATAAACCCAGAGACTTAGCCCCCGTGCCTCCCTCTTTCAGAGATATTTCCCCCATTCTTTGCAAAACTGGCTCCCTGTAATCCTCAGGTCTTTGGCCACATGCTGCCTCTCACAATAAGCTCTGCCCCTACCAACCTATTCAAAATAGATTCCTCCCTAATTCTCTAGCACAAAACTCTGGTTATATGCTTCATGGAAATGATCACATGCATGATAGTCATTATCACATAGAAGTCATCACGATCTGCTGTTATTTAGTTTGTGTATTTCTTTATTTTCTGTATATCCCCTGAGGGCAGAGTTTATAGTCACCTGCTTTCTAATAAACACTTCAAAACAAAAACTCCTGATCTTTTCCCCCAAACCTGTTCCTCCCAAAGTTTCTCTCATTTTAGTAAATGGCAGCTCCATCCTTCCTGTTGCTCAGACCAAATCACTGGGGTCATCGTTGACTCTCCTCTTTCCCGCCCTCCCCATCCGATGTCGGTAGATACTGTTCAACAATCTTGTCAAACAGACCCAAAATCTGACTTCCTGTCAAATTCTGGAGAATTTGGCCATCACCCTGGTCCAGGAACCACTGCCCCCTGCCCGGGCTATTGCAGTCACTTCCTCACTGGGCTCCTGGCTTCCTCTCTTGGTTCCCTGATCTGTTCCCACATAGTAGCCAGAGGGATCCTGTTCACACCCAAGGCAGCTCAAGTCCCTCCTCTGCTCAGAGCCCTCCTGTGTCTCCCAGCTTACTCAGTGTCAAAACAAGGTCCTCAGTGTGTGCCACAAGACCTGGTGCGGCAGGCTGCATCCCCTCTGTGCCCTCACCTCCCACCCTCTCCTCCTTGCTCACTGGCCTCCAGCCACGCCAGCCTCTGTACTGATCTTCAGACACATGAGTCAGGCTCCTGCCTCAGGGCCTTTGCATCGGCTGTGCTCTCTGCTGGGGGTGCTACTTCTCGGATACACACCTGGCTCCTTCCCTCCATCCCTCCTATCAGTCTTTCTTTAAATGTTCCCATCTCAAGTCCTCTTCCCTGCCTATCCTGCTTAAACAGCAACTCTGCCACACTCCCCTTCACAACCCAACATTCCCTATCCTTCATCCCCGCTTCATTTTTTGTCATGGCATATATACCACGTGACGAACTATTTCTTTATTCATCTTTTCTTTTTTTACTGACAAAACAAAGACAAATTCTCTTCAGAAAGAATTTAACTTCAACAGGAGCAGATGTTTTTGTCTGTTTAATTCACTGCTTATCATCTGTGTCTGCAACAGTGCAGACAGGTTAACAGTATTTGTCGAATTAGTAAACAAAATTGTATTTATCAACACCCAGGAGATTGCCTGCATATGGTCAGCACTGAATAATGTATGCTGAGGAAAGTAAAGGAATGCAGCACCTTTTTGGACACTCTGCAAATGTGAAGGGTTGTTATTGACATTCTAAGGTAATATTTTATAGGCAACCATGCATATAACAACAGTGGTAAGTGCTTGACATTTATCCTTGTAACAATGCTATGGGGAAAAATTATAAGCCCATTTTACAGATGAGAAATCAGTGTGTCCATGAGTTTTATGACTTGTCCAAAGCAGAGACTTGCATAAAGCAGGGACTCCAGTGTCTGAGCACCTAACTGCTAGATTTTGAGGTCACTGGCAAAGATGTAACAGCAAGGGACATTGAACAAGGATGTTCGTGGAGGAGATACAAGACAAAATATTTGGTGGACAATATGGTCCAGCAGTGAGGCCCTTTACTGCAGGCCCCCTTACCGAACCCCCTTACTATTGACATTAGAATGCTGTCGATCATTAGTGGGACTGGGAATTCAGAGTAAGGGAATGTTGGCAGAGGTGAAGTGTTGGCAGAATGTGGGATGTAGGTTGGGTCAGGACATCTGGAAGACCCAGAACAGTGTGAGTGTGAACGATTCTGAGGATCCAGTGTTACCTGTGATGAATCACTAAGAAGTGCATAGAATGTTGTTGGGGCAGAACAGTCTGGGCCCAAGAGAATATTTTCAGGGTGAAATATCATGGGCGTCTAGAATCTTTTTTTGAGTTCAAAATGTAGAAGAACCTAGAATATTGGCAATGAATAAATATTTAAAGGGTTGTAGGATGTTGCCAAGGAAGGTCTATTCATAGGACATAGGATTTGTTGAGATGGGTGATGGAGGTACGCAGGAATGTGGCCACAGTTAGACCATTCAGGCAGTGATCTGGACTTGCGGTGCCTTGTTGATGTTGTTTGGAGACCCGGGACATTGCCTGAGTTGGGGCATTCAGGTTATTGGGATGTTCCAGGGATGCAACATCTGGGGGACTTCAAGGCTGGCACTGACTGAATGCTGCTGAAACATGGGATGCCAGCTGAGACTGGACATCTTTGAGAGCACAGATCACTGGTTCAAACAGAACACTTCAGGAAGAAGGGTCGGAGAAGGGCTGAGCAGTGCGCAGGCTGTGGTGGGAGGAAGGAAGCAGCCAAATTCACTTTTATCATGGGTCCTTTGTCCATTTCTGCTCCAGAGTTTTGTGTTTTCGGATTGTTTCATGGATCCAAGGAACGTACTGTGAGACTCGGGTGTAGACGCCAGGCCGGTTGGGCTGCCCGCATGGGAAGTCTCCCCAGGAGACGATGCCATGGAGTGTTCCATTACAGACCAGGGGGCCCCCGGAGTCACCCTGATTGGAGGGGAGAGACAGAGTCCTTGCTAAGGCCACACGAAGGCAGGGATGGGGAGATGTGGGGAGAGAGTGGAAGGTGGGGAGACACACAGAGACAGAGAGAGTGAAAAACAGATAAAAAGACAAGCCACGGGACAGAGAGTGAGAGACAGGAAAAGAGGAACAGAAAGATGGAAGAGAGAGAGAGAGAGAGAGAGAGAGAGAGAGAGAGAGAGACTTCTGTGTCTCTCTCTGTTTCTCTGTTCCTTAGTCTCATTAAAGTGCTGACAGCTTACCTCATACATCTGTTCTTGGTTCCCTGGCACCAAATCCCACCTTGCACCCCCCACCCAACACCAGCTGACCCTGCCTCTGCTTTATGGCTCTGTTGTGCCACACCTTACTATGGAATTAACCCATCCACATCTGGCAGGGTAGGCAATAGGAGAGCTTTTCACTTCCCTCCATGGGGCCAAGGCACACATTACTAATTTTTTTGTTGTTGTTTTTTTTTGTTTTTTTGTTTTTTTGTTTTTTGTCTTTTTTCGTGACCGGCAACGGATCGCAACCCTCAGTGTCGCGCCCGTACCGGGCCGGGACCGGCCACGGGATCGCAACCCTCGGTGTTGCCCCCGCCCCTCGCTCAGCCAGTGAGCGGCCGGTCTGTATGTGGGATCCGAACCCTCGGCGGGAGCACCGCCACACTTCCCAAGCGGCGCACTATAGCAGTGCGCCACCGGGCGGCCCCACACATTACTAATTAATTGATCAAGGCACACATCATTAATTCATTGCCCTGCACTTTCTCACTGAACCAAATCCCCCCTCTCAATCCACGCAGTTCGTCCTCCCCCCTCCCCAGCTCCCACACTTAGTCATGTGTGACTTGTCAGACTTGGTTCATCAAAGAATCCCACAGCTCTGACCAAAGTGATGGTGCAGGACACAAAACTTAGGTCAGCCTAGTGAGAATCATGCTCAAGACATTTGTGTAAACTATTGAAAAAGAGATGTGTTCTCTTTCCAGTAGGGTTTCGTAGAGGGCAGGATGTAAGCTCAAAGCTGCAGGGGCCACCTTACCATGGCATGGGAAGCATCTCAGTGAGAAGAAGTATCTGCCCCCACCTCCATCCTGGCTAAGACGACCCACCGACCCCGTGGCCTCACCTCACAGGAGTCCTTGCCACCCTCTTTTGAGCCAGCACACAGCATGTTGGGAGTGATCTTCCCTGGGTAGACTTGACGACACTCTTCATCTGAGCGTAGCTGGATGTTGGCACATTGTAGGGTTTTGGGGTAACTCACTGGGCAGGAGAGAGAGAGAAGGTCTAAGGACATCTTTCCTGGACAGGCTATGGGGTAGAGGTGTTTTTGTTTGTTTGTTTTGTTTTAAAGATGATCAGTAAGGGGATCCTAACCCTTGACTTGGTGTTGTCAGCACCACGCTCTCCCAAGTGAACCAACCAGCCATCCCTATATGGGATCCGAACCCGTGGCCTTGGTGTCATCAGCACCGCACTCTCCCAAGTGAGCCACGGGACGGCCCTGGGGTAGAGGTTCAATAGAAGAGTCAGATGGGCAAAGAGTTGATAGAAAATAGAGGTGGGAAGAGAAAGAGGAGGGAAGAGATAACACATGTATCTGGGAAAAGTGACGGAGGGGACAGAAAGATGGAGAGACATGGGAGAGAGGTGGGGTGAAAGACGAGGAGAAAAGTGGAGGGAAGGATGGGGAAGGAGGTAGAGCTAGTGACGAGGAAAGAAAGTCGAAGAGGGTTAGAAGAAACAGAAGACAGAGATGGTGAGAGAGAGAGTTTGGGATGGAGAAAACAGAAGTGATGAGAAGAGACGTGGGGGAGTCGGGAAGAGGGGTGGAAAGAGAGATGGGCGTATTGGGGAGAAAGATGGAAATGAGACTGGGAGAGAACAAGGGTTTGCTAAGGAGATGCAAAAGGCTCTTGTTTTTATTTATATATATATTATATTCATACGTATGAAGAGTTTTCAAGAAGTTCATTGAAAGATTTGTATTATCTTTTATTTCTATTTTTTCAAACTTTTACGCAAATACCCTTGTGTAGTTTATATGTAAAGAATCTATTTATTTATATTTCACATTTAATAAATATATACTTATCAGTATATTAAATATATCTTATAAATTATAAAATATAAAATAAATTATATACTTTAATTTATGTTATAAATTATAGAATACATTGATAATATATAATTTATATATTATATGGTATATATTGCATAATTATATATTTATAATGCATACATTCTATAAATGTCTTTAGATAAATATATTTATATATTTTATGTTTATAAAATGCATTTAATTTGTGTAATATGATTTTTATATAATTATATAATATTTTATATAACAATTATATATATATAAATATGGTACTATGTAATATATAATGTATATTATATTATATAACATATAATATATAGCATATTAGATAACATTTATATATTCATAAATTCATATATATGAGAGGTCTTCAAAGAGTTCATGGAAAGATTTGTATTATCTTTTAATTCTATTTCTCCATCAACCTTTTGAAGTATGCTTGTATTTATATAAAGGATATACATAACTTCATATATATTTATTTTTTCATAAATATAAATATATATGTTTTATATTTATAAATCTTCAACCTCCTCCAAACTTCCCTCCCAGCTTTGCCTCAGTTTCCCCAGCCACTCCTGTGAGCCCTCAGGCCACCTGTGTGGTTGCATACCCTGGGGGCTGGTGGTTGTGCCCCAGCCAGACACCCGACAGCAGGTGCCAGGGAGTAGGCAGTCCTCATGGGAAAGGGGCAGGGCACGGATGAAGCGTGTGGGCTGGACCGGGGACTGCAGCTCCAGAAGCATGATGTCGTGGTCATGGTTCAGGTGGGTGGGACTGATCTGGTATTCAGGGTGGGGGATAGAGCGGACCACCTCCCTCACCTCTTCGCCGGTCTCCACACGCCCCAGGGCATGCTTGCCCAGGTAGACTCTGTACCCTCTGAGTGTACAGGAAAAGGTTAGTTGGAGAGGACGATTCCATCTTCACCTCCATCCCAGCTCCAGCCTCTTCTCTATCGCACCTTCCTCATCTTCAAACATATCTCCTTCCCCATCCTCAACCCCAAGTTCATTCAAACTTCCTACTTTAACTCTATTCCCACACCTGTCCCCCATATCTCCATTTCAAACCTCATCCTTACCCACATGGCCATCCCCAACCCTAACTCCAACCCCGTGCTCAAGTCCAACTCCACCTCAACCCACACACCAGTCCCGTTGTCATCCCTGTCCCATGCTCCCCTGGCCCATACATACTCCTTCAGACAGTGTGCTGCGGTGAGGACCCATCTGGGGTGGACGAGGACGCCCCCACACAGTAGCCGCCCTTGCACTAGGAGGGCTACCTGCCAGGGCTGAGAGTGAGGGAGGCAGGTGTAGCCACCTGGGAGAAACCCACCAGTTCCATTAGTGCCATTGAGGATCTTGGGATACTCCTGAGAGATGCCTGGTGAAGAAGAGAAATTATTAGAGAATTGGTGAGGAAAAGGCCTGGAGTTGTGGCTCCTGGGCTTGGTAAAAGGGTCAGAATATTGCTCTGGGTAACCAGGAACTGATGTTCATTGATTGGCTTCTGGGATTTGCCATTTTCTATCCAGTGGAGATGAGTTAAGGCAAAGAGGTGACTCTCTTTTCCACAGAAGTGCCAAACTCTCCATTGGGGGTTAAGTGAGGAGTTCATGGAAGGAAGATTTTTTTTTTTTTTAAAGATGACCGGTAAGGGGATCTTAACCCTTGGCTTGGTGTTGTCAGCACCACGCTCAGCCAGTGAGCTAACCGGCCATCCCTACATGGGATCCGAACCCGTGGCCTTGGTGTTATCAGCACCACACTCTCCCGAGTGAGCCACGGGCCGGCTCCAGAATGAAGATATTTTTGATAGGCAAGCGAAAAGCTGACTTTCTCTCCACCTGCATTTTCTCTGTCATTCTGCCGTGGGGATGGATTTCAGGAGGTGGAAGTGAGACTGACCTACATATCCACCAAGGCAGCATCCATCCATCCATCCATCCATCCATCCATCCATCCATCCATCCATCCATCCATCCATCCATCCTTTCAACACATATATACCGGATGCCTCTGGCTTTAAATACCATCCATAGGCTAACCACTTGCTAATTCACATCTCCAGGCCCGAAATCTTCCTTTAAGCTTGAAATTCAAGTGCTGTCAACTTGAATGCCTTACATGCATCTTAAACTTTGTATCCCCAACTTGATTTTTATCAACCCGAACTGTTCCTTCCAGTCTGTCTCACCTCTGTGCTCAGCCCAAAGCCTAGTAGTCATCAATGCTTCCCCCCTTTCCTTTGTCACTCACAACCAACAACTCCAGTTGGTTTTGTCTCATAAATATCCAGTTCTCTCCAGCTCCCCTGCCACCATCTTGGTCCAAGTCCCATCTTCTCTTTCCTGAATGACTGTAACAACATTGTAGAAGCTTCCACTTTTGCATCCCTGCAATCCAGTTTTCTCAAAGCAGCCTGAGGAGTCTTTGAACAAGGATAGTCAGACCATGTGATTCCCAGGCTTGGCCTCTCTTAAAATAAAATCCAGGGGCCGGCCCGGTGGCGCACTGGGTAAGTGCGCCGCTTGGGAAGCGTGTCGGCGCTCCCGCCCGAGGGTTCGGATCCCACATACAGACCGGTTCCTGCTCACTGGCTGAGCGAGGCGTGGGCGCAACGCCAAGGGTTGCGGTCCTGTTGCCGGTCCCCGGTCCGGTGCGGGGGCAACACTGAGGGTTGCGATCCGTTGCCGGACCCCGAAAAAGACAAAAAGAAAAAAAAAAAAAAATAAAAAAAATAAAAATAAAATAAAATCCAAAAGCCTTTCCAAGGTTCATAGAAATTCTGCATATTTGGGGCCTTTCCGGCCTCTTTGGCCTCATCTCCTATCTCTCTCCTCTTGACTCACTCTGGTCCAGCCTCATAGACCTGCTCTTTAAACACATCCAATCCTTTATACGTGCTATTTCCTCTATCTGGACAGTTCTTTCTCTAGACCTGTGTTGTTCAGTATGGTAGCCACTAGCCTCATATGGCTATTTAAATTTAAATTAATTAAAAAGTAAATTAAAATTCGATTATTCAGTCCCATCAACCACATTTCAAATGCTCAGTGGCCACCATATTGGACAGTGCAGATACAGTAGATTTCAGACATATAAAGGGAATATTCTGGGCCGGCCCGTGGCTCACTCGGGAGAGTGCGGTGCTGATAACACCAAGGCCACAGGTTCGGATCCCATATAGGGATGGCCGGTTTGCTCACTGGCTGAGCGTGGTGCTGAGAACACCAAGTCAAGGGTTAAGATCCCCTTACCAGTCATCTTTAAAAAAAAAAAAAAAAAAAAAAAAAAAAGGGAATATTCTACTGGACGGCACTTAGAATCTAGAGGTCACATGTCTGGATCCTTCTTGACTCTGAGAGCTTAGCTCAAATGTTACCTCTTCAGAGAGGCTCTCCCCGGCCACCTGATCTAATGTTGCCTCTCTTGGCCCCCAGTCATTCCCTGTTACATCCCCCAATTGATTTTCATCAGAACAATGATCACTACTCATTTCTCCTTATATTTATTTATATTTCTGTTTTTTAAAAAGTCTCTCCATTCTGTAAGTGCCATTGACAACAGGCCCCATAACTATTTTATTCAGTGCTGCAACCCCAAGACCTAGCACGGTGGCTGGCACATAGCAGGTGCTCAATAAATGAATGCTGGCATTGGAGGCACAGCAGTGGACAGTGGAATGGAGAGAATGCAATTCTGAACGTGCCACTTTCTGACTGGTCTCATGCAAGTTGCCAGCCTCAGTTTCCCCTGTTGTCAAGTAGGAAAAGTAATAGTTTATCTCTTATTGGGAAGTTGTAGGAGTCAATAAGATCTTGCATTTCAAACACACAGCACAGTATCTGACACAGAGGAAGCGCTCAGTAAGTGGGGACTGTTATTACTAATTATTAGCTATAATAGGAGATCTATTTTCCTCCCTGGGCCAGCTTCCCCAACTATATGACAAGTGGTATGAATAGGTCTGTGGTTCAGTTAGGGACAGGAGTCATCCATGGGCCCAAGACCGTTTTAGATGGTACAGAGATGAGGCATAAGTAACATTAAATTGCATACTCAGAAACTGAATCAGCATCCAGGTCTCTTTTAAACCTGATTTTGTGAGGATAAAGTCTTATGATGCAGCTAATATGCTTTTAACACCTCTCTAATACTCACTGAACTCACCTTTTTTTTTTTTTTAAAGATGATCAGTAAGTGGATCTTAACCCTTGACTTGGTGTTGTCAGCACCACGCTCTCCCAAGTGAGCGAACCGGCCATCCCTATATAGGGATCCGAACCCGTGGCCTTGGTGTTGTCAGCACCGCACTCTTCCGAGTGAGCCACAGGCCAGCCCTGAACTCACTTTTTAAAATCAGGAAGAAGCAGAAACCTTCAACAGGCAACCAAAAATATTAAGTTGAACCATCTGTGAAGCTGTTTTAAGGTGGTCAAAAAGGGTCAAGTACCAGAAATTTCAAGTGGTCCAACACAATAAACATTATTTTGCTATTATTTTGTGCAGGATTTTTTTCTTACCTTTTATTTATGTCAAAATATGCTTTTATTTTATTTTTTTTAAATTCAGGACAGTGATATATAGACATTGCTTTTTAGTATGCTTCTGTTTCAGTAAAAAAAAAAAAAAAGCTGACTTTAAGAAGACCATCAGGTCAAAAATTATAAGGATGGTTTGCAGGGCCTCGAGACCAGGATATGGCAAACAGGGTGAACAACCTGGATTAGGATTCTGACTCAGGCATCACTGGTGTCTTTGGGGCAGGACCCTGCTGTCTCTGAGTCTTGGATTTTTCAGCCGTGAAACTGGAGTAATTATAGTGCACCTACCTCATAAGATTGTTGAGGATTCCACAAGATGCAGCCCGTGGAGCTCCTAGCCCAGGGCGGGGCACGCAGGAGGGGTATAGGCATGAATCCTGGGAGTGTCACCAAAGGAGAGAATCCACCCCACCTTCAGGCCAAGGATGGTGCTGGGTGCCAGGTGCCCACGGACCACTCCTCCTTCAAGTCTTGGCTGAAGGGTCAAGTCCTTTGGGAAGCCTTCCAGGCTGGGGCAGCCATTATGTCTCTGGGCTCCTGGCTGGGCTTCTTGAAGCCTTCACCTCACATCATGGTTATAATTAATTACTAACTAATTATTTCGGTAACTGTTTGAATAATATCTGTGCCTGTCTGCGCTGGGATCTGAGTGCTGAGAGAAGCAACTGTGTCTCTGCTTGTACAGCATCCAGCCTGGGATTCAACAGCTGTTTGTTGAATGAATGAATAATGCACTAAGGGGAAGTTTCTAGAGAATTTGCCTGCAAAGGCAGGGAAAGGGAACTTAAATGTGAGAAGAAGAATCTTTGGGTACCAACTTTGGGTGGGGTCACATAGATTTGGGGTTACCCCAAGGATTAAAGGAAGAACAAACTAGAAGGTTCTGGAAGAGGTTGAGAATAAAAAGGGAATACTAATAGTATAACCAAGCCTCTTCTATCCACAACATATTGAAAGTTTGACACCATTACCTCATTTTAATATTCACAACAACCCTTTGTGGTAGGTACTTACATGCTCCCATTTTACAGATGAAAACAACTTAAGCACAAAGAAGCAAAGTTACTTGCTCAAAGTAGCAGCCTCAGGTTTTGAAGCTATGTCCTTTTTTTTTTTTTTTTTTAAAGATGACTGGTAAGGGGATCTTAACCCCTGACTTGGTGGTGTCAGCACCACGTTCTCCCAAGTGAGCTAACCAGCCATCCCTGTATAGGGATCTAAACCTGTGGCCTCGGTGTTATCAGCACCACACTCTCCCAAGTGAGCCACTGGCCAGCCCTGAATCTGTGTCCTTCTGATTCCTCTGACTCTCAGAAAATCCAGGAGGCCTTAAATGTGGAAGAGGCTGCTGTGGAGGTATTTCAGGAGCTGAGTGGTGGGTGCATCTGAACTGGGGTCAGTGGGCAGTCCCCACCTGGGAAACCAGGTTACACAGGGACAAGCAGGAACCTCTCCGGCTTGTCCTCGCAGGACCCGGCCCGAGTGGGCGGGGGAGGGCGGAGCTCGAGGCTCCCACGCCCCACCTCCCACCTGACTCCTCCCCCCATTGTCACCAGTGGCCACCACGGCACCTGAACCACCTCCACCCCCGCACATTCTTACCTCCTGACAAGGCCACGGTCAGGGAAGTGATCACAGCGGGCAGGGGCCACATGGCAGCTCTGAGATGGGGGGGCAGGTTGGGTGGGGCCTGAGGAGAAGTTGAAGGGGGTGTTGAGGGCTGTCTGTAATCTCCCTGCTCCTGCGTTTTCCAGTCGTGGATCTCCCCTCTCATTCACTCAGAGAGCCCTGACCCTGAAATCCGTATCCGCCCCCCTCTTCCATCCTTTGTGGGTGCCCAGTAGCAAGGTGGGAAGGGCATCGTGCCTTCCCCATGGGCTCTGGTTTGCGGTGCTTTCCTCACTGCAGGCGGCTGTACCCTCCTCCTCAGCCCTCCAGCAAGCTGGGTCCTGTGTGCAGGTGCACTCTCTCCCCTCTCCTCCTGAGCGTGCCTAACATTTCCCCCTCTCTGCCCCATTCTCCCCTCTCTGGGTCTGTCCCTGACACTAGGTCTCTCGACCTGAGTTTCTTAAGTTTCTGCATGCTTCACTTCTCTTCTCCAGCTCTGCAGGTTTGTATCTCTATATCTGAGGCTCTAGCTTCCCTCTGTCGCCCTGACTCAGCTGTTCTCCCTCCTTTCCCTTCCCTCCTCACCCCTCTCTCCTTTCCCCTCTCCTCCCCTCCAACGCTCCCCACCCCACCCCAAGCAGACAATACCTGAGTGAGGAGCCCCCTCTTGCAGAGCTTCAGATGCCTGCTGCTTAGAACTTCAGCCTCAACCCATGGCTTTTAACCCCTGAACTCCCTCCCCCAGCACACTCAGCATTTCCTTGTTGCTGGCCTCCCCCACTCCACCCCCAATGGCTCAGTAGGCTGTCGCCAGGCACCCCCCAGCCTGGGCTTGGCTCTCCACTTGGGGTGGAGCTTTCAGGACATGCTGGGACCCAGATCTGGCCCTGCCTAAGCTGGAGATGAACCCACTGTGAACTTTTAGGCAGCAGGACCCAACAAAGGGGAAGGAAAAAGCCTATTTCTTCCTATCCCCCAACCCCCGTGCCCATCCCTAACTTCAACCCATATTCCATTCCATTTTCCAACCTTCTCTCCAACCCTTTGTATATTCTTTATCAGGTCCTGGATGGGCTATTCTCCAACCTGTTCCCATCCCCCTTAACTATACTCCTTATCCCAAGCCTATTTCTCAACCCTAATCCCATGTCCAGCCTTATCCCAAGCTTAACTCTCTCTATCAAACCCAATGCACCCAGATTCCAATTCTCAGCCTCATATCCAGCCCTTTTTCTTCTGAAAGATACAGGAATGCCCAAATTTATTCCAGCATCCTTCCCCCATCCCCCAACACACACACACACACACACACACACACACACACACACACACACACACACACACACCCATCAGGCACAGGAAGGGAATTATCACCTAGGTAGATAAACTCAGTGGCCCTTGGACTTGGATGGGAGCAGGGATTGGGCCTGGAAAAGCAATGTTTTAGATAAATGGCCTTTTAGGAGCAGGGCCAGATGGAGTGAGGGAGTCCATGGGGACACAGACGGAGAGGGAGAAGCAGGAATTGGAAAGCTCTGGGGGTGGGACGTTGAGGGGGAGAGGAAGGAGGAAGGGGTGGTGTATTGGGAATGAGTAGGTGTCTCCTGGAACTGTGACTGGGTGGGGCCATGAGTTAATCCCAGCGGGTGGAGAGGGCAGGATTAGAGATTAAGAAGGACAGAGGTGGGGTCAGAATTTGGAAGAAAGCCAGGGATGGGGACCAGATGAAGTTTGGAAAGAGTGAGAGAGTGGCGATGTCACTATAAGAGTAAAGAATAGAGATGAATGGGGTGAGTTCCCAGGTTCACATCAAAACTGGTGTGCTCCACGCTGGGAGAGTTAAGGTTTGAATGTGGCATTAAATTTAGTGCTAAAAGATGACTTTTTAAAAACAGTCTAACCATGACTCTCTGACATATAAAGTGAACACATGTCAAAGATTTTATTTTGACTTATTAATAAGTGACAGGGCCAGGAAGATGTTACAAAGAGCCATACTTGTATAGGAAATCAGGAATGCTGAAATGAATTTACAAATAGATGCAAAACAGGCTCTTCCACATGGGGTGGGGGAGGAGAAAGAGAGAAATTAATTGTACTTCCACTTGACAAAATTCATGTGCACAGCTGTGGACAAGAATTATTACCATTGCTATCAGTTATCTACAATTTACAGAGCAGTAAAGTAGCTCAAGACAGGAAAAGATGCAGAGACCCCCATAAAATCAGATAAGCCATGTAGTTTCTATTGATGACAACTGTTGGGTCCCTTTCAAAGTCTTTCACTAGGAATAAAAGTATGGTTTAATATGGGAATTGAGCAGTTTGTGGTTAGGTTTAGGATGGGTCTGATGACAGCATTGAGAATGCAATAAATTTGGGGAAGAGAAAGGAAATTGGATGAGGTTAGGTATAGGGTTGGAGGTGATACTGGAATTGATTTTTAGGGTAGGATTGAGTTGTAGATGAGAGGGATCTGGGGATAAGGTTGTTGATGGGGTTCTGCTGGGTTGGAGCTGGATTTGGGGCCAATATTGAGGTTTTGGATGGGGAAGTATTGAGATATAGTTGAGTCGAGGTTGCGGGTTGACATTGATGATGAAGACTAGACATGAGGTCTATGTTGGGTTAGGTTTTGGTGGGAGTGGGCTGGGTCATAGATATGAGGTCCTCTCAAGGTGACAGAAAGGACACTGTCCTTCCCCACCCTGGACTTTCCCCACCTCACAGGACAGGGCCTGGAGTGGGTGCTGAGTTCTCTCTTTTTGAGTGGAATTAAGTTCATGTGGAGTGGCAGTAGGGAGAATGCCAGGTTAAGAGAGGTGACTGGCTTGTGTGGGAAGTTGGGGTACCTGTGCCCTCTTGTGGCCTGGGTCCTGCTTACTTGGGAAGGGCTGGAGTTTGGAGTGGGGGTGGCCAGCTTTGGCATTAGATAAGGGGTGAGTGCCAGGTCAACATTGACATTAGGGGTTATAATTGGCCAGGGCTCAGGTTGGCTGACTCTTGTTGAAGTGAGGTCATGGACCCACTGAGTGTTAGGTACCTTCCACCTCCTCACTTGATTAACAAGGAACAAGGAGCCCACAGCTGAAAGTCACACACAGTGGGCCGCTGAAAGTCATACAAACTGGACCAAATCCAGGAGTACTCTGACAGATCAAGATCTTTCCCCCCACAGAGAGCAGGGCTGGAGAAAGAAAAAGATAGAAAAAGAGGCAGTGTTCCTAGTGATTCAGAGCTCAGACTCTGCAGCTAGACTGCCTAAGTTCAGGTGACATGGCACTCTGTGTCTCAGCGTCCCCATTTGTAAAATTGTGCTATCAATAGCATCTACCTCATAGAGAAGAGTTAAATTAATTAATCATTGAAGGTTCTTAGAAGAGAATCTGGCATGGACCAAGGGCCACAGATGTGCTTGTTAAATAAGCAAAGCTGGAGATGGAGTGAGCCTGAGGTTCTTGGAGGCCCCACCCTGGTTTGGCTTCAAAATGGGATTCTTTGTCAAGCAGGAACTGGAAGTTCTGGTTGGAAGTGCTGGCTTGGGTGAGAAAGTTGATCCCACACCCAGGCCTGGAGGAGGAGCCCCGATGCAAACATGAAGGGAGGGGGAGACAGAGAAAGACTCAAAAGGATAGACACACACAGATAGACAGGATGGGTGGGAGAGGACAGAGGAAATGCAGAGAGAGACAAAGGCACAGAGACACAGAGGTAGAAAGAAAGAGACGCCCAGAGAAACTAGACACTTGGAGAGAAAGACACACAAAGAGCTGCATCCGTGTTATTCAGGATGTTGACGCCAGTCATCACTCATGCAGCAACAACATGACACTTTCCACCCATCAGAATAGAAAAAATAAGGAAGGTCAGTCTTGCCACCTACCTGCATGCCCACGTCCTCTGCCTCCCCTCTCATTTCTATAGATGAATAGTCTGTGCCTGCAACTAAGATAGACCCCTGCTCTTGTGCTCAGTATCCTGTCCCTTCTTGCCTCCTCAAGGTCATTGTCCAGCCAGCAGTTCTCTGCTCTCCTGCCTGTATCATTGATTTTTTTCTTCCCCTATGAGCAGTTCCATTAACATAATTTCTCCCATCTTTCATTAAAAGAGTAAAACAAACAAGCAAAAACCTACTGTCAGCTCTCATGTTCTCCTTCAGCTCCTGGCCCGTCTTCTGCTCCCCATGATTGCAATCCTTCTCTAAAAAGCTGGCTACACTCACTGTCTGCAGTTCCTCTCCTCCCATTCTCCCTCGAGCCCACTCTATGAAGCCTTTCTCTCCCACCACTCCACCAACCATACACCTGTTAAGGGCACTGGTGACCTTCATGTTGCTGAATCCAATGGCCAGCTCTTCAGGGTTCATCTTACTTGAGTTAGCAGCAGGGTTTAACAAGTGGATCACTCCCTGTTCCTTCAAAGAGTTTCTTCCCTTGGCTTCTTGGACACTACGCTCTCCTGGTTTTCCTCATAACTCACTGGCTGCTCCTCATCCGTGTCTGGCACTGGGTTCTCCTCATTTCCCCAAGCTGTACATGGTGGAGCACCCCAGGGCTTGGTCCTTGGCCCTCTTCTCTCCTATGTCTACACTCACTCCCTCAGTGATCTCATCTGGTCTCATGGCTTTAAATACCATCTACGTGTTGACGACTCCCAAGTTTATGTCTTCAGCCAGACCTTGCTCTTGAGCTCTCCACTTAACATCCAACTGCCTACTCAACGTCTCCATGTTCAAAACCAAAGTCCTTTTCTCCACCCCCTCTCACATTCCAAACACGCTCCTCTCGTGGTCTTGGTCTTTTCAGTAGATGGTCAGTCCATCCTTTCATCACTCAGCCAAAGCCTCAGTCTCCCCCTTGAATTCCTTTTCTCACACCACACACCCATTTTGTTACCAAACCCTGTCGGCTCTACCTTCCTGTAGACCCATAACTTCTCACCATCTTCCATTCTTGCCACCCTGGTCTCTCCCAGCCACCATCATCTCTCACCTAGATTATTGCAAGTTTCCTATCTGGTCTCTTTGCTTCTGTCCCTGTCTGCCTA